TGCCTAACCTTTTCTTGATTCTCTTCATTAGTGGCTTCCCTCGGTCTACCTGATCTAGGTAGATCAGTGATGTCTGTCCGTCTTCCATCTTTAAATTCATTATACCAAAAGTATACCTGTGTCTGACTCATATGGCCTTGAGGCACAGCGGTCTGTAGCTGGGCTGAAACAACAATGGGTGCAGTATCCAATAAAACATTCACCTTAATAAATGCTCTCTGTTCCTCCACCGTAATACTGCCCCGAAGATTGTCCAAATTTGGCCCCTCCGCTTTAATGAGTGCCAACACGACAAGAATAAACACAATAACACGTAACTTCATAATTAAAGAGTTGAAACATTAATGATTATTAATCACATTAACATAAGTGTTTACTCCTTATAATTATTCAAGGGTATGGAGATAAGATAATTCCGGAAACTTATGGTTTGACCTATGTATAATTAAAACAATTTATAATAATTCTATTTAATTACAGTTAAACATATAAAGTAAAAAATCTTATGTTAACATTGCGGGCAAAACATTAGGCTTACAAATGTGAAATATCCATTTTTGAACAAACTAACCTATTGAAAATTTATTTAAAAGTTTATTCATATTATTAAACTATCATACACGTTTATATCATAAATAAATAAATTATGAAATTCAAAAATACACTGTATTTTGTAGACCAATCTTAGCTAGCATTTTTTCAATTGGTAAGTATACAGACTGTAGTTTGTATTCGTATGTATTTTTTGTGTATGAATGTTAACAAAAGTACTATACTTTATACTATACACTGTAGTATACAGTGTATAGTCACAATTTGGTATTTTATAGGGGGTGTGTGGCTGTTTAATAATATATATATTATATATATTGATCCGGCTAAATCTGATTATTTCTGACCACATCGGTACGCAAAGTGTTCTAAATATATAGCAATAAAATATAAAATATTACATAGTTGCATTATAAATTATGATAACTAGCTTTATTATCGATTTGCTATTAATTAATCAATATAAAGTATTAAATATACGATATATAACTTTGAAACAAAAAAGTTTTTTGTTCTCAATCAATATTGTATTTTGTTTTGTGTATTAATTATTAATTAAGCATTTCATATTTGAAATTAATAATATTATGACAAACACTGAACGGGAATTATTAATAAAACATTGGTGTCACCATTACCATTGATATAATTCATAAAGATATGCCTAGTACTACTAATACAATAATAATAAGATATTATGATATCAAAATGTTGAAAGTATAAATATACAATGTACATTATAGTTCACAGCCACGGAAAATACAATGTTAATTATTAATTATTTTGTGCTTATTATTATTTATAATGTATCACATGAAATGTATAATAATTCATATACTTGTACACGTGTACATTAGATACTATTATTTTTTATTAAATATAATACTAGTACTTGTATTACTTAATTGAAACTGTTTGTAGGTGATATATCCTAGTTGTTTATAACATAATGAATAATACTGTATAATGTGTTTTCTATAATATTTTACAGTTTACTAATAATTACATAGTTAAAACACCCTGTTGGTATATTATTAATAAGCAACATGACTAATATTAATAGAGTTGTATAATATCACAATGCGTTTAATTACAAAATTGTTAAATATTTTAATAATTATTCATATATTAATTACTGAAATTTGGTCACAAATATTTTTATTTATTACTGAATGTTATAAAAAAGTTGTAAACATTGCTAAGAAAACTTATGGTTTTATAAATACACAAATTAAAGATAAATTCTTATTATTATTGAAAACATTTTGTTTCATAATATTATGTTACGAAGGTTTTGAGATAACCGCCGATTTCCTGCACTATCCCTATGTCTATAAGTTTAGTGTCAAACCCTCTCAGGGTTTGGATTTACTGCCGATTACTATAATAATAGTGTTGAAAACAAATATTTTCGATTTCATCCCAAGAGAGCCACAATTTATAACGGAAAACGAGTCCACAATTTCCGTGAACGACATTTCATTGTCGGCTCCCCCGCCAAACCCGTAAATCTTGGCCCCATTCCCGCCACCGATAACCATCACAACAAGAGCGTCGCCATTAAACCGCTGACCAGACATACCCTTCATTACAGTCCTGATCTGAAAGCACTTAACGTCGCGATATATATAGCACTCGAAGCCCAACTGCTCGACCATGGACTTCCATCGGTTCACCTCATCCTTCAGACCATCAGTGGTCACAAACAGTATGGCCAGACCTCTGGGCCGGGAGTCCATCTTAAAGTATCGCGAATTCAGCATCGCTGATCTCAGCGTCCGTGCGTTTATTACTTTTAATTCAATGTCCGGCCCATAGGGCGATGTCGATGGTTGTGATGATTGTCCGGGTACTTGTTGGTTTGCAGTTATATTCTCTATTCCCTGCCTTTCCTCTTGTAGTCCGGTCTCAATGGATTGGATGTGTTGAATGTCAGGAAATACTCGATTCGTTTCGGAATTAATATTTTCGGGAACCAAAGGACTTAAAGTACTTCCAAAGGTAAGGACTGGAATCAAGGCCTGTTGTCCACACATATCATTGCTAACATAACATTGTGATTGAGATACAAGTGATCTGTTGTAGGGCCCGATTGCCATACAATTATGATCTAATGGTTGCATTGGTTGTTGAGGGAAGTCTTGATTTGGGTGTACATTATCTATTCCCTGGCCAAACATCTCAATGAGCATTCGGTTCTGTGAGTACATATCAGCTGTATTGCTATTAAAACTATCAATATTTGATTGATAATCTGGATCCAAGACCTTGGTGATGGTTGTTTTCAACTGAGCACCATGGTTAACACTGCCATCCTTTCTATTTGACCGATCGTATGATTGATACTCAATCGCCATACGTTTGGTGTGAGTGCCAGTGTTTTGTGGCATATCCTGTAGTTTGCGTTTCTATGTATGAAATCATTAAATAAAGTAAACATCAACTAAATACTACAGTCTCTTACGAGTTGTGTTTTGGTCCCAAATATCAGGCTCTCATTTATGACACCATTTTCCCGAACGTTTGCATCCATTTCCCAATTAGTGTCCACATCCTATCAGATTAATAAACTGCTATAATATACAATACAATATAAGGTAATAACTCACCATTTGGTCAGATTTTGTGAGCATATCCATGTCATTGTCTTGCAGTGTGTCATTATCACCGTTTTTAATGTCATTATCAGACTCTTGGATAAATGTGAGTAATCCAGGTGAAATAATAGGCGATTCTGAGACATTTATTTCTTCATCGGGAAGCTCTTCACTAGTAGTGGAGAGCTGAGAGGGCACGACATCAGGTCCTTCTATTGGGGTTTCTGCCACTACAGCCTGCAAGAGAATCTGGTCAATGAATCAATTTGGTACATTTACATTTATAATAGATTTTCACATTTATCAATAAAAATATACAAATTATTTCTATACAATTAATGTATGAATCACTTTAATTCAATAGTCATATCGAGAAAGGTTACAATAAATATATCCAATCCATACATAATAAGTTTTATTGGTATGAAAACCTATTCCTATTAAAGTTGTGACTAACCATTGAATTGGGATCTATTGGTTGCAGTGGTTGTTGAATGAAGTGTTGATTAGGAGTTTGTGAGATTGTGTTTGGATGGGAAGGGTATGAAGTGAAGGGACCGGCATCTTGGTTTAGCACTTGGATGGTTGGCACTAACTGTAACATATACACTATGTTTGCTTGATTGGGAGTCGTGTCACCACTGTTTGCGATAGGGGGTTGTGGGTGTGTTTGAGCTTGGCTATTTTCTAAGTCATCATTCGGTGCTAAAGTAGTTGACTTTTGACTGCCGTTCTGTTGGTTTGGCTAAGGATTACATAATATATATTTAAATAATAAATAATTCATGTCACCATTAAATTGAACTAGCTTACGGGTGTCATTCCGGTGTCCAAACACTTTTGTAGCCTACAGGCGCGGCACCCATTTTTTAGAAAATTACAGTTTCCCCCATTTGGACACACGTCCTGTTATGAGTCAATTAGTTTTAAATACATTTCTTAAATATACTTCAAATCTATTGTTTTATTTGTATTTCATAAATGTATAGTAAATGGCAAGTCATAAATGTACAGTATATCATTAAATAACTTTTAAAATAAACTAATTATCTTTAATTAATATAAATACTATATTTAAATTAATATACTGTATAACTTTTTAAATTTAGTTTACCTGTAAATGATGATTATTCATAAACCACCGAGCATCTCTTAGGCACGTCAATATACCACTGCCAGGGCGCACATAATTCTCACCTATTAACCAAAATATTAATATTAGTGCTGTATATTAAGATATTATCAATACAAGTGAGAATTTAAAAATAGTCAAAACAAATACCAAGTTTAATTTGTTTGTCCTTAGGATCCTTATTACGGTTATTGGCGCCGCAAACACCGCATTCATTATTATCTGCCATTGTTTTACATTTAAATTTCAACACTTATATTGTGTGACAATTTTAAAAGTTATTCAAATTTACACCATTACTAATTTACATATACTTATAATTACAAACACAATTAGATTTATTTATTTAAAATCGCGCATTTAAAATAATTTCTACACTTTGATATTGCAATCACCGTCAAATTAATTAAAAAAACTATAAGCTTCACATTAAAAGTACAAATCACATAAATCGGATTTATAATTATATATAGTTGTTAGACGTGCGACCAGTGAGTGAATGAATGGTATAATCAAACCAAATGAACTATATATACACCATTCAATTGATGTGTGTTTATGGGATAAACATGGGATGTATGTGCAAAAGGGTTGTCTTATGTGCCATTACGTAACATTACGTAACATTGTTTGTTCGTTACGTCAGACACATATAAACTTATTTAAAATAGTTTTACCTCAACATAAAACATTGCAACTTTTTTTCAGAAATTATTTAATAAAACGTAAATAAGTTTTTACTTCTAAACATTTATTTGAGAAATACAGTATTCAAAATATTGTGATGCATGATAGTAGATATTCCTTAATATATTTACGGTAAATATAAAAAATGAATTGGTTTTTCAATGATTATACTAATTATTACTGTACTTAATACCGGTATTAATATATTGTATATAAGGAATAAAATAAGACTGAATTTTTTTAACTTGTTTGAATTAAAATTGAAATATTTAAAATCAATAATATGTCTATGATTTTGAACAAATCAATTTCCAATAATACAGTAGTATACTATAAATATTACTAATTATTTAACTTATTTAAAATTATATCTTTCATATAAACACAATATCCATTAATTTGTAAATAACTTTTAAATACTGTATATCTGTTAATTCATGATCAAAAATGTTTTAATATGTAATTAATAATTAATAAAATACATTAATAAAATGAAATTCAATTTACTGTAGCTCCGAATTTATACAAGTATAGTTTATTGCATACATTATCATAATTTTTTTATCTATAACAATTACTAATGTTATATGTATTAATAACTGAGCTCTGTAGCCTATGGTTTATCTAATGGTAATCTATGGTTTATTGTATGTTTAAAATCTAAATACTTGAAGCTACTATTTTTAAGTAGAGTTAATTACCCTCTTATAAAGACCCGGATTGAAATATATTTCTCTTGATGTGTCCACAGAAATGGTAACTATTTTCGGTTGATCATTATCACCAAGTCGTTTGCGTGTCTATTAAATAATTATACCGGTAGTTAAAAATCAAATAATGATTAATATTATATATAATATAACATACCGTGTTGACTAAATTAGCTAAATGTAGATTACAAGCATACTGTGCGATCGTATAACTGAATGCCTGTCCAAATAGTGTAATACTTTCTGTGGGATTAAACCACGAATTCATATCTATATTCAATAAGATTCATAATTTAAGTTATAATTACAATACTGTATAGACATTGAATTAATAAAAATTTAAAGTTCATACTGGTTTCGGTACAGTTAGAGTGTGCATTAATGAGATAGGTGCGATTATTGCACTTTAGTGACATGTTTTCAATTTGTTGAGGTTTTCCTGTTGTATAATGTTTTCAAATATTTTTATAAATCTAATTAAATCAAAGATTTCTCTCTCTCTCTCTCTCTCTCTCCACAATATAATTTAAATAAATACAAACCAATAGAGAAAGTGTTGAAAACAAATATTTTCGGTTTGTTTCGCAGAGACACACAATTAGTGTCGGAAAATATGTCCACAATATCTGTGATCCACATCTCATTGCCTCCGTATCCGTGAATTTTCTCGTCATATCGGCCGCCGATAAACATCACAAACAGGGCGTCGGCGTCGAAGGGCTGAGTCGACACTCCCAACAGCACATCCCTTATCTGCGAGCACTTGGCTTTTCTGTAGACGTCCTGCTCGAAGCCTAACTGTCCCAAAATGGACTCCCATCTGTCCGCCTCCCTGTCCAGTCCATCGGCACAAATAAACACAATGGCCCGACCCCTGGGACTGGAATCCATGAAAAAATAGCGGGTGTTCCCTGATCTCAATTCTGATGCCCGTACCACTGATAATACAGGTAGGTCAGTATATGGTCGATATGGCCAGGGGTAGTCCATTTTGAACATTTCCACTAGTTCATTAGCCAACTGGTGAGAGCCCGTGTTATCCAGGAACTGTTTCAATCGACCTGGATCATTCAGCACTCTCCTAATATGCTGAATACGGCACTTATTTTCATGCTCGTTTTGTTGGATTTTCTAGCAAGGTATCATAAGTCATTAGATTTTAAATAAATTAATAAGAATTTAACTAGTTGTTTTAAAATTATAATTACTTTCATTTCATCTAATAATGGATCCCCTGTAGTGCTCATCTGACCAAGGTCAATCTTATTAACAAATGTGAAAATCATGTCTTCGATCCTATTATCTAATGAACTGTTTGTTGGAGTGGTTATCGTATTGTTTGTTTGCAGTCCATTCAGGCTTTGATTACCACTGTTAGCCACAACTGTCATCGAAGTGATGTGAAGTTGTGGTGATGTCGAGGTCTGCATTGTATTCGCATTTATTTCCTGATTGTATGGATTGAATTGCTGTGTGTATGCCTGAGCCGGGTATGTATTGCTTTGATTAGTTTGTTGGGTAGCGACTGTATTTGTTGAATGAGGACCCGGGTGATGACCAGGGACAACGTTGTAATTAGTGCCCTGATTTGGCACAAACCCAGTCCCTTGAGTGGTGTTACTTCGCGATCGTTTGGCACATTTGGCGCTGTTTTGTGGCACGTCTTGTGTATTGTATTCCTATGAATGCATTCATTATTTAAATGATTAGTCTTATAAATATGTCAATTACCAGTCTCATTCCGATGCTAAAACACTGGTGAAGCTTAGGTGTTAAGCATGTATTACATTTTGCCGTAAAGGGTGCACCATTTTCAGCCTGTGGACACACTGTCTGTTAATGAAATAAAATTAATTTTAAACATATGTAATTCATTTAACTTATAATACTGACAATCCTTTGATTCATTAGATATAATTATTTTTATACAGTTTTATAATTATTGCAATGAATATATGAACACTTATCAGTGAATTAATTGCTTATTCAGAATTAATTTGAATACAAAATAAAATCCAATGAATTGACCTGTAATTTGGCATTCCTTGCGAACCACTGTCTATGGGCTTCACACGTGTAGACACCACTGCCTTTCGCCACATAATTCTCACCTATTTATCACAAATCGGGAATATTAGTCATATTATGCATTCATACTGTACTTATATTGATCATATAACAATTTGTCGATTTAAAATCATACCAACTATGTAACACTTTTTAGTCTTTGGATTTATAGTGTGATCATCGACTCCACAAATAGCGCACACCTTTCCCATGGATGACATCTATTTATATTAAACTTACTAATTATTATTATTAATAAAAGTTAATTATAAATGTTTCTAAAGTTTTTATGTGAAGAAACTTTTTTTGTTTAAATAAAAAACATTTTAGTGTTATTAACAGTGTTTTAAAAAGGATTACTTTTTGATGATATATATGTAGTGAACTCGTAGTCCACTACTCAATACAATGTCCAGTAGTTTTAAATACAATAGCTTTATAGCAAATAGTGACCCATATATGGGTCAATGATTAAGACAATGTTTATGACATTTTATGACTATTTTTGGGTACAATTTCAATATTGAAACAATTTCTATTGAAATTGAGTTTAAACTAAAAATAATTAAATAAAGAATTAGTTTAAATAAAGTAATCAGAATACAAAGTACTTTACATGTTATACACTATAAATACTAGTAAGCTATGAAAAATGGTATCATAAAATATAATTATTAATTATTCTCAATTACTTAATATTAGTTTTAGAAAACTCGCTGTAAATTCTAGTTGTTCCAGTTGTATATAACTTTTTTGTATCTAGTAAAAGTTTTAATTATTCATAAAAATTATTAATTAATTATTAAAATCACTTACAATTAATGCATTTAATGAATCAATTATTGAGCACAACAATAATCAAATCAAATGAACAATATATACAAAACTGATGCAATTTATACGTTTGTATGAGTCTTATATTATGAGACACAACATGAATGTTATAAAGTATTCCCACAGATATCCTATGACTTACTGAACGCATAGTTTTGTCTGCAATGAGTGTTTAACTCTTTCACATGTTTTTCAACTGATTCACTGATTATTTAAACGTCCGTTCGTTCGTTCATTACGTCACATATCAGGAGAGAGAGAGAGAGAAAGAGAGAGAGAGAAAGAGAGAGAGAGAGAGATAGAGAGAGAGAGAGATTTTGTTGACATAATATAGAGAGAGAGAGAGAGAGAGAGAGAGAGAGAGAGATTTTGTTGACATAATAAACTCGTTTGAAGTAAACTTGTAAATAAAACTGTTGCCAACTTCTCAACAAATTTAATAAAATGTAAATATAGTTTTAATTCTAAACAGTATCAAATTTAAACCAATACTGTATACATTTAAATATTAATTAACATAATATATTATAATGAATATACTGTCAATATCTCTGGACACCTTAAATATATTTCAAAATCTTTAAAAACATTTAAACAATGCAAAACTTTATATACCAGATACAATTAGGAAAATTTAGAAAATGTTCTTGATTACCATACATGAAAACTACTGTAGAATATAATCTAAGTTCAGAGTACCCGAGCTGTCAAATATACAAATTAAACTGTAATCATAACGTTTAACAAATAATTTGAGACATTAGATTTCTATTATATATTTTATGCAGTAGAATAAAATGAAATAAGAATATTTTAAACAATAATATTGAAAATAAATAAATTTTCTTATCTAAACATGATAATATATTATATTTAAATCAACATTAGACACACGAATACTGTATATAAGATAATTTTATTCAAAATAATTATACAGTACATTTTATTAACTTTTAGCGCATAAATGTTGTTAAGAATGAATAAAAAAATGTATTATAACTAGATTGAATTATCAGACACACGAATACTGTATATAAGATAATTTTATTCAAAATAATTATACAGTACATTTTATTAACTTTTAGCGCATAAATGTTATTAAGAATGAATAAAAAAATGTATTATAACTAGATTGAATTTATTTGTGCTAACAAATTTTCTGCACACATACTTCCTGGATCATTTTCCACAATATACTTATAAATAGTCAATTTGTTATATTTAGCCAACAATTGACTACATTGCGGCCTTTTATGCCAATTTGATGCTCACATAACACATAACTTTATAAATGTGTTTGCAATCAATGTTTTCGGGTTTGAGATCCCTATGAATGACCTGTGGATCCAATTCATGCAAATACTGAACACACTCTAAGATCTGTCGGAATATTTCACATCCAATGCAATACTCGACACAATTCATAGGTTTTTCTAATTCTCTGTCAAATAGTTGTTGTTTTATTTCAAGAATATTCTGTAATTACTTAACTAAAAACTTTAAAGTTTAAGTTTTGATGATAGAGTTGCATTTAAATGGTCACAGGTACATTCATGAGAAATAAGATTCAATAAAATTTATTAAAGTATTCAATGAATTTGTTTTCATTTGATTTATTGTTTATTTGTTATAAAACATTGAATTATAGATAAATAATAATTTATAATTACGGTATTATAAAATATAATAGGCACTCTAATTATATGCAAATAATTTAAAGACCAGGATTGAAATATATATCTCGTGTCATATCTAACGAGTTCAGGATTATTTGTGGATGATTATTTTCACCATGCTCATCCACCAGTCGGTTCAGCGTCTATACAATTATTAGATTTTGTAAATTAAATTGTAATTTAGTTATAGGGATATTATAATATACCTTTCCAACTAAATGAGTAAGGTGATAATTGCACGCATACTGTGCGATTGAATAACTGAATGCCTGTCCAAATAGTGTTATACCTTCATTGGGGTTGCGCCATGAATTTATAGCTGAAATTAGTTTTTAGTTAATTAATCACATTATTTAAATTATTTATGAAAACTCAATTACTTGACAGTTTATGTAATACCGGTACATACATTTTGCATGTGAATAAATGATATAACTTCTATTATTTTTCGAATTCAGATTCATCTGGATATTTTCAATTTGTTGGTAAGTTTCTAAAAGTGCACAAATACTGTATATTAATAAACTTTGATCTCTCTCTCTCTCTCTCTCTCTCTCTCTCTTTCTTCTCTCTCTCCGAAATATAAACAATATAAATACAAACCAATAGAGAAAGTGTTGAAAACAAATATTTTCGGTTTCATCCTAAGAGACGCATCACTCTTATCATTATTAGCGGAGAATATGTTCACAATGTCTGTGAACGACATCTCATTATCGACTTCACGATTGCCATAACCGTAGATCTTCTGATCAAATCCGCCGCCGATAACCATCACAAACAGAGCGTCGGCGACGAACCGCTGACACGACACCCCCAACAGCTTATCCTTAATCTCAGAGCACGTGGAGTCCGCATATACCTCACACTTGAAGTCTAACTGAGCGAAAATGGATTTCCATCGCTTTATCTCGATGTCCAAGCCATCTGTGGCCGCAAATATGATGGCCCGACCCCTCGGATGGGAATTCATTTGAAAGTATCGCGAATTTCCTGATCGCAGTTCGGGTTCTTTTATCACTTTTAACTCGACATCAGTGGTGCACTTCCAGGGCTCCCTCGTTATGAACATCTCGACCACAGCCTCCGATTCCTGTTGCAGTCCAGCCCTGGCCAACAACTGTTTGAGCTCATCTGGACCCTTTTGCATCAACTCGTCCGCAATCTCTTTGATCATTTGTTGGCCTTTATTCTCATATTTTAGAATTTTCTATTTGTGGATAATGGTCACTGGTTATAATTATAGTTTTCAAGAGTACCTTTAATAAATTTATAATAATATAATTTTGCTTACTTTTATTTTATCTAATAATTCATCTCCGTTAGTAGTGGTAATCAAACCAAGGTTAATTTTATTAATTAACGTGTGAATCATATCGTAGACAATATTATCGGCTGAGTTGTTCGTTTGATTCCGTAGTATATTATTGGTTGCATTGGTTTGTAATACAAGTGGTGTCTCATAGGACTCGACTGCCGTTGAAGTATTAGCTGATGGTTGGGGTTGTTGTTGAGGAAGAGCTTCGTTTGTATACATATATTCCAGTCCCTGACCTACTGTTCCTTCATTAGTTGGCAACTCGAGATCAACTAAGTCTTGAAAAACAGGGTATTCTATATTATTATCCGTATTAATACTATTGGTAATCAAAGGACTGGAAGTACTTTCAATCAAGTGGACTGAAGTGGATGTCCCGTAACTTGGCGTTAGGGGTTCAGTATATGGCCATCCAGTCTGTGCACTCGATGTATGTGTTAGGTTTGGTTGACCCGTTGAATTCGCGCCAAAATTGTAACCATTGTTTGCACTTGAATTGGGTTGATATTGGCCACCATAAACTGGTTGTATATTACCAGTATTCATTGGTGGTGCAGATGTACAATTTGTCGTTTGATAACCCTGGTCATTACACTCTGACCCCTGAGTTGCCTCGAATTCATGATTCGTAACAGTATAGAGTGGTTGTGGGAATGATTGTGTCTGGTGTCTGTTAAAACTAGTATTAGTCCCTGAGTGACCCTGACCATTCCCAAAACCCAGCATGTTGTTAAACCGCTGCATTATACCAAACCCCGACGTGTAGGTCGTGTTATTTCTTTGATTTGTGTCTGGTGTCTGTTAAAACTAGTATTAGTCCCTGAGTGACCCTGACCATTCCCAAAACCCAGCATGTTGTTAAACCGCTGCATTATACCAAACCCCGACGTGTAGGTCGTGTTATTTCTTTGACGTTTGTTACCACTGATGGCGCCCTGTGTTTGGAATAATTTATTTATTATAGTCTCAATCAAACTGACCTAGCTTACGAGTTTCAATCCTATTCTATAGCACTTGTGTAGCTTACAGGCCGGGCACCCACTTATGTCACAATTTTCCAGAGCGTTTGCACCCATTTCCCCTTTTGGACACGATTTCTATTATTATAATAAATTAATTATAAGTACATTTCAGTTATAATTATAACATTGCATTTTACAGAATATTATCAAATATTTAAAAAATTAATATAATGCATTGATGTATCGATATTAATAAATATCTAGTTTAACATTATAATATGCAATAGAATTTACCTTTAATTTGGCATTTTTACAAAACCATTGTCTGTCGGGCTCACAAGTGAATATACCACTGTTTTTGGGTACATAATTCTCACCTATTTATACAAAATTATTAATTGTTAGACGAATATAATTATTACAGATATATTTTAGCAAATATAAATATACAGTACCAAGTTTAAGATCCGGGTGGTCCCAGTTATTTATACCACAAACATAACATTCACGATATTCTGTCATCACTTGCTATTGAAATACAATATTTTAAAATGTTTTATACTATTAACACTGATATTTTATTGAGACAATGTAAATATATTTATATTGAGATAAAATATGTTCATAATTATAAAATTCAATACAATTTGTTAATTTTACAAAAGTTTATAATTTAATTCAGAATAAAATATTTTGTTTAAAAAACATTTATTAGCATTATACATTACAGTGTATTAGAATAACTTTGGAAATACTTTTATGAAGTGATATTTAAATTAGTTACCAGTTGTAGCAGTGAACCAGTGTATGATTAAATTGACAATCAACTCAAATGAACAATTTATATGAAACTAATGCCAAATAATTGTAAATACAGTTTACAAACACAACTGAATGCAAGCGATCCTCTCAAACATCTCATCACTTACTGAACGCATAGTTAGTCTGCAAATAGTGTTAAACTCTTCACATGTTTTTCATCGCATTATTCATACGTTTGTTTCGTTCGTTCGTTCGTTCGCTACGTCAGAGATCAGACTAACCAACCGTTCACTATTGGAGAGGACAGTCCATTATTTTGATACTTGGCCCCTGAATATTGAGTTTTAATAGAGTAACAGTGTCCACTCTTTAAAAATGAAATTTAGGAAAGATTAAGTATCAAACTGTAAAGAACACTGTATTCCAAGTAAAAATAGTAATCAAATTCTTATTATAGTGAGCCCTTGTTATATTTACTCAGTACTGGAGCTGTTAATTTGATAGTATTACTATCTGGTTGTATGTTATGTAATTAAAATAATACTGTTGTAATATACTACCGGTGCCAAAGCACCCGTTAATTTACGCGTCAAAACATATTACAAATACTGAGTTTCGGTGCAAATAAATACCTCAAACTTATTGATTAGTTTATGTATTTATATGATAATTGTATTTAGTATATCAGGGTTTAATATACCTAATCTAATATAATATATTTTAATTATTACAAACTGTTGTTTATTACCCTGCTAAGAATATGTAAAATACAATTTTTGATAACTTTATTGTGTAAATACTTTGGAGTCGAGGGTTGAGTGAAGGGGTGCAGAGAATAGACTTTTATTTCACTATTGATTAGCATTTTAATGTGATTTCTATCAATTAATTATTGTCGAACCACTATATATTTACATTCAAACTCTAAACCTAATATTTTATTTTATTTTCCGACATTTACTACAATTAAATGTATTTTATTTGTAAAATATAAGTAAGGTATTTTTAATATTACGTTTAAAAAATTTGTAAAATTTAAAATTAATGAATAAAAAATTAATTAAAACTTACCAATTAATAACCAATAAATCTATTTATTTTATGTAGAAACCAAGTTTAAATATGATAATAATGTTCAATAATTCAATTTTCAATTATTTGTATTTAATAAAAAATATGAATTATATATTAAATCAAACTAATTTCAAACATACAGTAAAAACATTAAAAAAGACGTGAAAAGTGAATTCAATTATCAATTGTTTAAAAACGAATTGCTTTAAAAATATAGGAAACATTTATTAATAATGAAATTACAGAATCAATACAATACATGTGAGGCTATATATATTTGCATTGAAAAGTATGTGAATTGTGATTGACTGCGAGGTACACGCATGAGTTCACATACACCTCCCCCTTAGGAAACCCCGTAGACTTCCCTATTATTAAATACATATTAGCACACAATTGCTGTATCATTGTTTGTACCTTATAATTACCATACAATTAACGTGGGAGTGGAACTTAAACTTTTTACTTGAAACTTTCATTACCTGTAGGAGTGTCCGGTATCATATTATACATGTGCCTGTAGTGGTCAATAAATATTCACTGGACTATTCAATAGAAAAATTAATGTTAATGTCAAAACCAGTTAATATCATATTCGGTATTCAAATAAGTTAAATACTCCAATCCTATTGATTACAGTAGTTTATGTATGATAATTGTATTTAGTACCTGGTGTTAATATCAGGTGTTTAGTAACAAATTACTATCATATGATTCATATCACATGAAAGAATCGTATTTTTACAAATAAATAAATCAATCAATCAATACAATATTATGAACATTAAGTGAATTAATTTTCATAAATGTATGAAAGCTGTAGTAATGTTCAGCCACTCAAGAGATGGTAATTTGGGAGGCATTGAGATGTGACTCCAGTTTTCATTATGACTTATATAACACACAAACCATTGCCTGTCTCTCTATCTATCTCTAAGTCTATGCGAAAGATATCTTTTTTGTGATATTTCTGTTCAAATGATTATTCATTTTGCTATTTATTGCCTATTATTATAACAATTGAATGGAGAGTTCAATATGAAGATACATCAGTTTGTATTCATATAACTTTCTGTAAGTGATCGCTTGGACTGTCCGGACACTACGCCGGTCAGAGACACCGAACTCCAACACCACTGACCTCTTGGACGTGTGACTGTCTGTCCACGACTGACCCCATACCCCATACCCACCCCTTTCCCTCGGAAGCACTTCAATGAAATGACAACAATTATCTCGATATTGCAGTCGTACTGACCCAACACCACAACCCATCGCCAGTTCCTTTCGAAGTCATGGAAAGGCTGCAAACACTCAAACTCCAGATATTATGTAATAAATGTTTCATTATTTTATAGATAATTAATTTAATGCATTAAATGCATATTTTTTATTCATATATAATTCAAATATATGACCATAAAAATAACAATAAAATTTATGAATAATAAATAAGTTTACTAAATTGATACAAACTGTACGATGTTTGAATGGAAATGTATGTAAAAAGTGAAAGTATGGCACATACCTCTCATTCGCAACATATAATATATAACAGTAAATATCTTTGGACCCTTAATATATTTCAATAATTTTAAAAAATAAAAATCATACAATTATGAAATTAATTTTAATTACAGATTAACAAAATATAATATAAGTTGAGAGTACCGGTGCCCTCAAGTGTCCAATTTACGGCTCTTTATTACACGAGTCTTAATTGATTGAGTCATTTGCTCATTAAATGCTCATAATAATATTTTATAAATTAATAATATTTCCACAGAAAAACATTTAAACTTAGAATTTAGCAGGATTCCAATCCACACAATATGTGTCAAATAATTTGCTCTAGCTACTGTTTTAACTTTTCAAGTTATTTTATTAATATTTATTACATGGTTTAAGACATTAGATGTCAATAGATTTCAAACAAGAATTTTGTGAACAATTTTTAATAAACATTTATAATCGTATAATACTTAATACA